AATATTCTTCGCAGTAGAAAAACTACAACTACTATTCTTCCTACTCATAACGTAATTGAAACAAAACTTGCAGTTAGAAGAAATAAAATTATTTATTTGGTGAAGAAAATATTGTTCTGTACATTTTACTAACGTCACTTTCTAGGTATAGTCGATACGTTTTTTCAATAGAGAGACACAGATCTAAATACAATCTACGAATAACACGATCTGATCGACAGTAATCAGACTCTATACGGGGGAACGACTCAATATGTTTCCGTACCCCATCTAGAGCTTCTAATGGTAAGACTTTCTTTACGTAGTTTCCTTTCAAAGGGGTCTAAGCAATCCCTGAGTAATCCTTATAGTGTTTTTTAAAGAAATAATAAATTCTCTGTATACTAATGTTTAGAGTAGTTAAAAAAAATTCCCTATATACTCTGATTTGCTTATTTAAAACCTCAAGGTTATATTAAAACGAATTTTGTTTCTGGCAGTCCGAAATATTTTCTGTTTTCACATACCTTCGTTTTGGTGAACTTCTTTTTACAAATTTTGAATAAAATGCGCCTTTTTTGATTACACTTGGCTGCCAAAAGTTTTTAAATATAACTTCCCTTTCGTGCGTATTAATTTTTTTAATACATTGATAGGTACAAGATTTCACACACTTGTATTGACATTGCCTTGGAGCATGGACAACTCCTTTTTCGTCCTTATATTGAAGCTACTGTTCTCGCTGAACTTTTTTCACATTTCTAGTCCAGTTCGAAGGATTTCTCAATCGCATTCTTGTTTTTTTAGAAGTCTTCTTGCTGCTTGCTGAGACATCTTGATTTTCCATGTTATTTTCTGCTGAGCTTTCTTCTGTACATTTTTCGGCACATTCTGACACCATTTTTGTAGAACTCTCTGTATTTTATCTGTTTCCATTAGAAGAAGTTGAACTTGAATCACTGTTATAGTCAAAAATTTTTCTGAGTGGTTTCTGCACTATAATCAGGATCCCAGACTTAATCGTCACTATCAAACTTATTCTCGACATCAGTAGGTCATGACGGCGCAGGGGACGAACATTCAGACATTGCAATATTGTCGAATCATCAAAACATCGGGACTTAGAAACATCGGGAATCGTCTCAAATAGATTTCTTTTTATAGCGGTAATTTGTTTACGATCCATATCCACTCTGTAACAAAAAATTACATGAGTTTTTACGCTCTCCTGGAAGAAATATTGTCAAATTAGTGCTTATTTGTTCCACATGCCAAATTCTTATTCTGAGGCATTGATATTATTAAATTTGGTAATATAGTTAAGAACACATCATTAAATAGATAATATGTATACATTTTTACACATGTAAATAAATAATATATGCATTTACTTACCCGTTTTATACTTTTATTTATCACATCCAGTCGCCACCATACAAGAAGTAAGACACGTTAACCTCAACTCACTGCATAGCACTGGCATGGCACAAACAAGCACCGAAGCACCGAATGCGCGTGTGAAATACTGGCTTCCTATTGGCCTTTGCATATGGAACACTTAAGCACTGAAATAACCCATAAAATAATCATATGGCACAAAGTTACAAAGGTATTACAGGAAAGTCTTGGCTGTTAGAGTTATCAGGGCCAAATTATATAAATTATTATGTTGGCAATGTTTCATTACAACTTTTAACCCGAAAAAGTAGAAAATGTGGTATGGAACAAATAAGCACTAACCCGACGATATGTCATGTCAGATTGTGACTACAGAATAAGTCAGTAGAGTTCACTTGTTGTTTGTTATTGTATTGTAATGGCCGCTAGTTATCAAGATTCTTATTATTAAAAGTATTCAATAAATAGTGAAACATTGCTTGCTTCGAATCCATTAATCACTTCAGGTTATGGGTCCAGTTATGTGTCAGTAATGGAATATTTTGTGATTCCAAGGGTAAACAGGAATTTGGATCTTAGAATTTTGGAACTCTGGAAACATAAACGATCCAAACAACGGGAACAATGGCGGTTTTAATAAAAGGTTTCGGTTCGTCCCTTCTCCTCTGTTACCGTATCGCGCCTGTAACGCATGATCGGATCAAAAGAAACGAAGATATGACGTAATATTCTTTTGGCATGCTCCGATGCGCATGCACATACCAATGTGTCCAACCCCATTTTTCATCTCCATTCCAACGATACCTCACACGTCACGATCTGACCAATAACAACGGAGATATGACGTAATGCCGTTACGGAGATATAACATATTCGTTACCACCTCCTCTTTCCAACGATACCTTGCACGTTGTTGGACGTTGAGCCGTTTAGACGTTACAAGCTTAGTGTCCTTTTGGCAATACGCCGCCATCTATGTTTTTTGTGCTAACGTATTCGTTACCACCTCTTCTATATGGTTTCGGTCACGACTAAAGATTCAGAACCATGCTAAGTTACGCATTGGTCGGTAATGTAGATCCAATGCTTGCCAACAGTGACGTCAGAGTAGTTCAAATGTCCCGTCATGGCTGGCCCAGCTGTCGCATACTCTACTCATACTCGGTCACGTGAACGTAACCAAGAAAAAAAGAGCAATAGCGGTCAATTTACAGGTAGCAAATTTTAAACAATTTGATGGTATAGGTTTTTCAAATTGAAAGTTTTGGATGGAATTAATGTTGGAAAAAAATTATTTTCTGAAAATTTTACAAAAAGACATAATTGATGAAACTTTAAAAAAGACTGATGCTAAAACAACGAATCTTATACCGTAATGCTTATCGGACAATGTGATACACATCGTAAAAGATAAAAAGGCAGTCAGAGATATGTTCAACACTTTAAAAGACACATATTTGCAAAAAGGTTTGTCTGTTAAATTTTAAATTCAACGCAAATTAAGAAATATGAGGTATTCTAGTGGAAAATTAACAGATTTTATAATGATTTTTGAAAATATAGTGACAGATCTGAAGAATAATGGTGGAAAAATTGAAGAACCCGAAATTGTTTCTCAATTGTTAGCTGCTATGCTGAAGACATATCAAGCAACAGTCACAGCAATTGACATTATGTTCAGTCAAGATCCAACTAGAATTGATTTTAATATGGTGAAAAATAAAGTCCTACAGGAAGAATCTCGTCAAGGATTCTCATAAAAATAATAAAGAATCCACAGCAGTTTTCTTTGTTAATAAGAATCGATATTACTATGGACGTCAACAGAATTCTCAACAGGTCACACATGGTCCTGGAAATCATAATAGAAAAGAACGATGGAATGATCGACGACAGTCAAATAGACAATATCCAGTAGTGGGACAAGGACAAGGCAATTTTCGATTTAAATGCTACAAGTGCGGTAAAATTTGGCAAAAAAGAAATGAGTGCATGGAACGTCGGTCTGTTAATAATGCAAGTGTCGGTCCAAATCAGGTTGAAGAGGAAATTTCATTTCTTATTGAACTAAATGAATTTGAATCTCCACATCCTAATACAGTTTTGTGTGTTAAAAGAAAGGAGCTTGTTGAGGTGGATGGGAAATGTCCAGCAAATGTCAGAATTGTCAATATGTATTTTGAAATAAATGAAACAATAATTGATAAAAGTGTAAACAAAAACATTGACTTTATAATAGCCTTTGGTGCCACAAATCATTTGATAAATGCAGCTTCAGGAAGTTTTTTAACAGAAATTAAAACTGTAGCTCGTAATATTAGTGTAGAAAATCATAAAAGCTGAAAATATTGATATTTTCTTATGAAGGAAATATAAATGATTTTAAATATGAACCCATGGTTTCAAAACAATATTTACAAGTAAAGGGGAACAGCTATTGTGCGAGAACATAATTCAGACTACTCGTGAATTGGCTAATATAAGTATGCCATTACTAATAATAACGGTGTCTCGAGCTTGGCACGAGAAAAAACGAGATTGAGTCGAATGTTTGAATAAATTTAGGAAACGACACCGTGTGTTATCGCTTCTAAAATTAGAAGCAACTAGCCTTAGCAGGCCAACGGATTCAACTAGCATAATGCTAGTTAAATCTGGTGGTATGCTAGAAATATAATATCCAGTTGGACCAAATATACAGTTGTGATGAGACTGGTGTCACCAATGTGCATAAATAGAGGTACAACTGGTTACTAAAAAAACTGATTTGAAACAAGAGTTGTAACCAAATTAATAGATAACTGGCACTATAAGAGGCAACAAAACATTTTAACATAAGCATAACCCCAGTTTTTCTATTAATAAAAAATGTAGAGAATAAGAAACTCGAAAAAAAAGCGAGGGTCTGAAAGACCCAGCCACCAGCCTCAATTAACGAACTTCGCTTGGCTCTAGAAGAGGAATGGCAAAACATTTAGCAAGATGATATTCGCTAGAGGCTAGGAGAGGAAATACAAAGTATTTAAAGTTAATTTTTTTTAGTAGTTTTTCTTTATTATGTGCGTGCTTAAGATAAGTTACATTTGTTGTTTTTGTTTTATGTTTTTTTATTGTTACCATTGTTTATTAAAACCAAGATCATGTCGTTGCTTTTAATCATTATTTAAATAAAGTGCTTCTGGGATACCGATATGACATTCTTTCGATATCAGTCACCAAAGCCCCCATCATCGTATTATAAATTAAGTCAAAAGATAATGGTAATAATAGGAAAAACCGTAAATTGTGGGTGGCAAAGTAATTTCGCTCCTAAAAATGAACCAATCCATATTTTCACATGAAACAAACAAACATAACACTTTAGAAGACATAGTTGCAACCGAAAAACAAGGTTTTACGAAAAACACAGGATGTTTCAAAGTTAGGATAAAAAAACCACCTTTCGATTAACCCCGTATAATAAGACAAATACAAAATTTTATTAAAAAACTCACTATACTAAATTAAAAATTATAAATTTTATACAGTATGCATTTTTTGCATCTGAGTGTAATAATGTATCGAAGACCCCTGGTAATTTGACAAAAAATTAGTGACAACTGACAGTGACAGAAAACCATGTGGATATTCCATAATTTACTGTCATCTGAATTATTTTTAGGTTAGAATAGGTATTTTTTAAAGGTTTTGACTAATCTTGTTTATAAATAAAGTAGAAAACATGGATTTGTGGAAAGATATCCTTGGTTCTCCGGTAAAAATAGTGGCTCCGATGGTAGACGCCAGTGAACTAGCATGGAGACTATTAAGTAGACGATATGGGGCTGAACTCTGTTATACACCAATGTTACATAGTGCCATTTTCACTAGAGATCCTAAGTATAGGAAAGAAGCCCTGGCTTCCTGCGAGGAAGACAAACCCTTGATTGTTCAAGTAATATATTAAACAATACTTGATTATACTTTATTTTCACTATGGTATATACCCCAACAATCTGTGCTGCACATTTTTTCATTTTAGTAGTGATTCTTGTATTTTTTGTATGCTTGCAGTTTGGCAGTAAACCTTTTTGATTTCCCTCAGTTTATGTTAAAGGAAAATATTAAAACTTAAGCAATATTGCAATGATTCCTTGTCTTATTTTCATCAATAATTTACTGAGAATTTTTGTAGTTTTGTGGGAATGATCCAGATATTATGTTGGAAGCTGCTCTTTTAGCTCAAGACTATTGCTCTGCTGTAGACATTAATCTAGGTTGTCCTCAGGCAATAGCCAAAAGAGGACACTATGGGGCTTTTCTCCAAGATGAATGGCCTTTATTAGAAAAGATAGGTATGTACTGTTTAATTAACACAATTTAAAAAAGACTGTTTCTTTAGATAATCGATGATTTGCAAATTGATCTGTAATTTTTGTTTGTAGTCAGTACCTTAAGCAAAAACTTGAAAGTACCTGTTACTTGTAAGATACGAAGGTTTGAAACTAAGGAGAAAACTGTGCAATATGCCAAAATGTTAGAATCTGCAGGATGTAAAATGTTAACAGTTCATGGCAGAACAAGGGAGCAAAAAGGACCACTTACAGGGATAGCTGATTGGAGTTTTGTCAAGGCAGTGAGGTAAACACATTTATTTCATAATATAATACATAAAATAAAATTTTTGAGTAAATCTTATTAAATTTTTAATATTAGAGAAGCAGTTTCAATACCCGTCATCTCTAACGGCAACATCCAATGTATCCAAGATGTAGAAAAATGTTTAGAAGAAACTGGCGCTGTTGGTGTTATGACAGCAGAGGGCAATCTGTATAATCCTGCTTTATTTATAGGACAAAATCCTCCGGCATGGGTACCTGCCGAAGAATATCTAGATCTTGCTGAAAAATATCCTTGCCCACTGTCTTACATTAGAGGACACTTGTTTAAATTGTTTCAACATATGTAAGTATTGACATATTAGTGTTACATTTAAGAAAAATCAAAGATTTGAAGCAATTTGCATATCACTATACTCTGTAATGCTAGTCAAAGGTGATTTTTGTATTAGAATAAAATTTTCAGCCTATCTCTCCCTTTGAACAATGACTTAAGAATTAGATTAGGAGCTGCCAATACAATGGAACAGTTTAAGAAGATAGTGAACGAGATTAAAGCCATTTATGAGCCATACCACAATGGATTAAAAGTCTGGGAAGAGACAACTGAGCCAGACACTCAAAATATCCTCCTTCCACCTTGGCTGTGCCAATCTTATGTCAGGGATGATCCTGAAAATCATATTAAGAAAGTAGAAGATAAAAAATCTGAAGAGGTAAGTTTATTGATATGTTAAAATTAATTGCGTGATCTTTAGTAGTTCGTAAATCAATATACAGAGTGTCCATAATTAAATGAGGCCATTAATTCACTTCAAAAGTCCAATGCCTTTGTTATTAAAAGCTTCTGCTTCTGTTTACTTCCAATTTGTACATTAAAAGTACAATTTGGCCACACTTTATATTCCATATAATGTCCAAGTAATCAAATCTTCACAGTTGATGCAAGTTTTGCTGTGAGTCAATTCACTCTGTGCATTCAATTCTTGATGTATACTGGCCAGAACTATTCTAAAAAGACACTGTCCTTAAACTGTTGACTATTTGATAACAATGACAAATCTTTCTATTGTTATAAATATACAAAACTTGAAATAGTGTATAAATTTGGATCTAATGTAATTTTAGCAAATGTATAGTTTACAATGATTCAGAGTTGGTATTTTGAGTATAAAATAACCTGTTGTTAATTTTAAGAAGTCCGAAAATAAAAGACAGTATGAAGACTCGGAAGGAAGAACAATAAGCAGAAAAAAGATGAAAAGACTAAGAAGAATCAGCAGAAGACCAGAAAAACCCGAAAATTTAGCAGATAGGCCTTCTGAAAAGTGTTCAGTATGTGTAAACCCATTGGTGAGTATTATTCTTCCCGAATGAAGTATCTTAATGTTGTAAAATATTAGAGTCTGCCTGAAACTCTCAATAAGACCACTTTTATAGTGTTGGTACTTTCTTCATACAGATTGAATGAATTTAAAACGGATCATACAATTTAATATATGTCTGTTTGAACTGCATTTGAAATAGTGAACCAATATAAAACTTGGACAAAAATAAATCCATACCTGGGTATAGATATTGTATAAAATATCGTTCAACTATCTGTCTCGCAACAATAAACAAACTCTGTTGTTTGCGTAAAGGAAGCGATAATAGTTTAGGAAATGAAGCTCGAAAAAAGTTAAAACTTCGCAATTTTTTCGTCCTGCATGCATTGAGTTGAAATTTTAACACAGAATGTAGGTGATAGCCCAAGGATAAAAATCTATATCGAATTGAAGTGCGCTGAAGGGTTTTGGGGGTGAAAACTACCCCTAACTGTCAAAAATTATAAAATAACATATTAAACCTGAATATGGCTAAGATTTGGTTTGAATTTGTTAAATAATGATTATTTTATACTTTTGAATAGAGTTCCATCATATTTCAACCCTTAAAAAGCAACCCTTGTTAGAGATTAATGTAAAAAAATTACTAATTCTAATAAATGATTTCGCTTTGGATCGATTTGGATAAAAATTTGGATTTAAGCTCAATTCACCCACTGCTTTATAGTTTATGTTATGTCGACGAACCCTGATTGTTTTTAGGGGTGAAAACTACCCCTAGTTGTCAAAAATTATAAAATAACATATTAAACCTGAATATGGGTAAAATTTGGTTTGAATTAATTAAATAATGATAGTTTCGTGCTTTTGAATAAAGTTACATCATATTTCAACCCTTAAAAAGCGACCCTTGTTAGAGATTAATGTAAAAAAATTAGTAATGCGAAGAAAATGATTTCGCCTTGGAACGATTTGGATAAAAATTTGGAATTAAGTTCAAGTCACTCTCTGCTTTATAGTTTATGTCATGCCGATGAACCCTGATTGTTCTTAGGGGTGAAAACTGCCCCTAATTTTCAAAAATTGTAAAATAACATTACAAATCTTAAGATGAGTGAAATTTGGTTTGGATTAGTTAAATAGTGATTTTTTTATACTTTAAAATACAATTTCATACATTTTCAACCCTTAAAAATCAATTGTTATGAGTGCTATAGGTGAAAACAATTTTTTGCCAAAATTTTGCAACTTTTCAACTTTTGAATATGACCCTTTATAACATTGTAGTTTTTGTAAACTAATTTAATAGATATAAATTGAAAAAAGTAGAATTAAATACAAAAAAAATTTATCAACATAAAAAGGCACCATATATTCTTATACATTTACATAAATAGTTGAAAATATTTACATTTATAACAACAACAACAAAAGTTCATCGGGTGCATGTTGTTTGTTCATGCGTACGGGTAATAACAAACCATCTTTGGAATACCATCCCCAATCTGTTGCTCTGATATTTTCATTGCCAAGCCATAGACATATGAACAGATGTTTTATTCTGTTGTATGTGATTTCAAAATAAGAACGCTTAAAATTTCGAATGTATAACGACCCACTACCTAATATACCGGTTTTGTAGATTATTATGCTCCGAAATGTACTGTACTATACTAATGGAATTTTCCGGAAAAAAAAAATTAATTGGTTTTTTTAACGTATTTCCTTCATTTTTAACGATAGAGTGTTTCTTCAAAAACGATTTTGTAGAGGTTTTAAGAGCTACAAGGATCTGGGAATTAAATCTTTTTGGAACCCTTGGTTTTTAAATGGGATGAGTTTAAAGGGCTCGAAAAAGATGGTGCTTGATCGTAAATCGATGCTTTAAACGGCTATATCTCGCCAAATATTCATTGTACAACAAATCTAAATAAAGGAAAATTTTAGTCATTAAAAAAGCTACAATTTAGTACATTTTTATTTTTTTCATATATTCAGTATTTTCGGGAATATTTAAAAAAAGAAAGGGTAAAAAATATGAAATTGTAAATCGTTTCTCGCTTTATGCTGTACTTTTTCTAAAACTAAGCATTTTAAATGGGTCAAACTTCTTGGAAGTATTAACAATACATGTACAAAGAGAACTGCAGAAGGGTGAAGATCTATTTTAATTATGGGGCTGGTTAGGGTGTTGTTTTCATCGATTTTTTCGTAAAAAAATGAGGTATTGACCTTATTTTCATCATAACTCACTCAATTTTTGAGCTAGAGTCTTTTTTTATGATAGGTCTATTTATGCTCTTTATAAAAGGTTTTGTGAGTTTTCTTCCAAAAATGCATCATTTTCCCGATATTTGACTTTGAATCTTTTAAATTTGGCATTTGAAGAAAACGGCTGAACATTGATAGGCCGTATTTCGGTTCCTATTATATCGCAAAAACATTTTAAAAAATGAATTGTATTTGTCTTTTTAAAAGCTACAAATTTGTTCTCTACAATTTTTTTGGTAAAATGCACCATATATCGCGAAAAATCTATTAAAAACGTCGATTTTTTCTCGATCGAAAAAATCGAGATGGGGTGGCAACCACCCCCAAGGCTTTGGCGCACTTTGGTTCGATATAGATTTTTATCCTTAGGCTATTACCTACCTTCTGTTAAAATTTCAAGTCAATCCACGCAGGACGAAAAAGTTGCGAGGTGAAATGCTTCATTTCCTGGACTATAAGTGGTTTGACAGTATAATAAAATCGTAGATTTATGTGTAGCTTTCAATTTTGTATGTAGTTTACTTTTCAAGTATTGGATTATTATAATATAATTATTTGACAACCTTTTGTTAGCCAACCACCTACAGCAGAATTGAGCCGAAATACATAATATTTCGTATGTTCCGAATTTATTTCGTTCAATCTGTACATACTTCTAACACTGTCTTTTTGTTTTAGGGCTCCAAATGTTCATATAGGCTGTGCAAAAAGTGTTGTAGAGATAAATGTTATGTAGAAGATTTAGACTGCAAAGGACATAGGATTTTAGTGAAAACAAGAAGAGAACTTGCAAAAATGTATGCTAGTCAAGAAAAGAAAGATATTCAACCAACGAGTGTTGGTGTTTCATAGACGTGAAAAATGTTTTAATAAAAGTTTTATTATGTAAATAAATTATTTTTTTATAAAAGTATTTTTATTTGATATACCTACAAATTAATATGCCGAAATTCAATGCTATTTTTTCTATATACTTTCAATAAAATTTGATTTTCTCTTGATCTTCTTCTTCGCTTTCCATATCAGATTCTCCGACGTTGGCGATCACCATTGCGAAAGCTTCTCGATCTTTTGCAATATGGAATAATTGGACGTAGTTATGCAGAAGTGATCCATTCCACAATTTCTTAAAATATGAGTTAGACACAAATTTACATCGGTAAAATTCGGAACTAAATTATGCTGAAATGATCCAACCTTTACTATGCAAGACAACAGTAATAGTAGTAAAATATCCAACCTTAAACGCTCTTTTAGCTTTAATCGATTGTGCAGTAATGATTCATGCTACTTGAATCTTCAAATATTTTTAAGATTAATTTACAAAAATGAACCAAGACACATGGATCATTAATGCGCTTTAAAAATCATTTTAAAACCAGGCTTTAAAGTAATTTACAAAAATGAGCCAAGTCACATGGATCATTATAGCGTTTTAAAAATAATTTTAAAACGAGGCTTTATTTTTTAAGCCAAAATAATCCAAGTGGCCCGAATCATTTTTACAAAATTAAATAAAGTCAATAACACTAATGTATTTAACACTGTAATGATTCAAAAAGCTTGAATCATATCAGCAAATGTTATTCTTGCAATTTTCATCATCTTTTGGTCATTATAAATGCAGAAGTGTTACATTCCATAATGTAACGCTTGTGTAAAACAAAACACAAAAAAAAAGATCTTATACCACATTAAACGAAGGTTTACAGAGGAAAATTAAAAATTTTAGTCGTACCTATACTTTAGCAGGAAAAATAGTGTGCCGTGATATGTTTGTAAAAAAATTAGGTAATTCTCCCCAAAAAGTGACCGTATCTTAAAAAAAATGGATAGCTCTGATAGCATTATTGATCAAAGAGGACAAAAGCAGGGAGGTTGGAATAAAACTTCTTCTGAAGACCTCAAACTTGTAATACGTCATCTAAAATCAATTCCAACTTACACATCACATTACAGAAGAGCAAATTGTTCTGATGCCTTATTCCTTCAGCCAAATCTGACTGTAAGAAAACTGTATGAGTTGTATACTGCAATGGTAGTTGAAAAGTATCCTTTAAGAAAATGTGTTTCATTTGAAAAATATAAGTCTATTTACCTAAACAAATTTGATTTACGAACAAAATCGCTTCACAAAGATACTTGTTTAAAATGTGATTTATTTAACACAAAAATAAAAAACGTTGCAACTGAAGAAGAGGAAAATTATTTAACTGACGAACATCAAAAACATGTTGAACTTTGGCAAAATGCAAGAGCAAAAATGAGGGACGATTTAAAAGAAAGTCAAATGTCCCTGGAAATGGAATGCATCTCATTTGATTTACAGAAAACTCTCCCACTTCCAAGAATACCTACAAACATCGTTTTTTATAAACGACAACTATGGGTATATAATTGTGGTATCCACTTAGGATCAGAAGACCAAGGTTACTGTTATGTATGGATTTAAAGAGAAGCAGGGCGCGGAGTTTAAGAAACTGGAAGTTATTTAATTAATCACATGGAAAAATACCTGAAACCTGATGTGAAACATTTTATACCTTGAAGCGATTCATGTGGGGGGGGGGGAGGGTTCAAAATATTAAAATCCTTTTGCTATTGAAACTCTTTTTGTCAAAACATCCAACTTTACAGAAAATTTCACAAAGATTTCTAGAACCAGGTCATTCCTACCTGCCAAATGACACCGATTTTGGTAAAATAGAATCCGCTCTTAAGTTACAGCAGCGAATTTATACACCAGAGGAGTACATGGATTTCATGCGTTCGTGTCAAAGGAAGAAACCAATGGTGGTTACTAGAATAAAAAAGGAAAATTTCTATAGTACACAGAAACTTGAAAAACTTATCGTCAATAGAAAATTATCAACAGATAAGAAGCCCATACATTGGCTTAAAACCAAAGAAATTTTATTAGCAAAAGAAAACCCGTATTCCATTTTCATGAGAAATTCTTTTGATAGTGAATTTGTGGAAGTGGATATTAAAAAAAAATCTAAAAGTAAACTTTTGACAGAAATATTTACTCCAGAAAATCTTTCGCCTCTATGGCCTAATGGTAAAGAGCTTTCAGCTCCAAAGTTAGAAGTCATTAAGTCGTTGTTAGATCTTATTCCAAAAAACTGTCAAAACATATATCTACAGTTATCAGGAAACAAAAATATTCCCGATGACATAAATGGGTATGGAAATGAACTAGATTTTCCCCTGGAAGAAAGTTCTACAGAATAATGTTTCTTCGTTTTAAACTTAAATATTTCAATGTTTTTATAATGTAAAGATATGTTACCAAAAATAAATCTTTGTTTTATGTACAGACTTTGGTAAAAATAAATATAATTTGACAGTAATACAGACAAACACCGCTTTGGATCATATCTGCAAATAATAAAATTTGCTTTGTACCACAAGAAACACAATTTTGCAGAAATGATCCAATGTTTTTTTTTATTTAATGACAAAAATAAATATACTTTATTTTTTAAAATACGCACATAAGATGCAATAAACACCTTAAAATAACTTGGGCATATTTAAATTAATAAACATAGTTATTTCAAATTGTTATATTAAATTTTCTTTAAAGTTAATTATTTCAAAATTATGTTAGTGTGGGATGGATCAATTCTGCATAACTATGTCCAATTGTCCTGCATTTGGTATCCGAGTTCATTCACGAATGTTTTTTAACCAAGAAACTTTTTTTTCTTCCTACACCTCTACAGCCCTCTATTTTCCCTTAAGTATCAGTTGTAATATTTTATATCGACTTTCCCTTACTCCCCAGATAAGACATTTTTCGATGTTTAACAGTCTTTAGCAGTTTATCTTTGTTGATGCTCTTTAGTACTTCATTAGTTTTCCTTGCTGTCCAAGGTATCTTCAGCATTTTCAATGCTTCAATTTTGTTCATGATCTATACTTTTAGCGTCCACACTTCTGCACTCTGCTAAAAATAGGATGAAAATATGTGGGGGAGAAATAACAAAGGAAAATTTATTAGACATTATGACATTAGATAATACACTAAAATATGTATTAGTTATATTTAATTCAAATTTATTGATCAGTAATAGGATCGTACTGTACTAACTTCTTCGCGATGGCTTGAGCTACTTCTTCTGAATTTGCCGTTAATACTCTCATTGCGAATCGGTTCAAGGGACTGCCATCAGTATCAAGCACGACACCTCCTGCTTCTTTTACGATGAGTTCACCTGCTGCTATATCCCAAATATTGAGTTTGTACTGATAGTAAGCGTCGGCTGCTCCACAGGCTACCATACACATGTCTATAGCTGCCGAACCTAGCGATCTCACTCTAAAATAGATAAAACGTTATGCTGATAGTTTCAAGAGCGAACCTCAAATGTAGTGATTCAAATGGTGTTTTTAAAAGGTTTTAAAGTAGATTAAAAAACAAAAAAGGAACCACCAGAAGAAATTAAAAACCCACTTAAGGATTAAATACAAAAAATGTCAACTCTGAGCTACAGCCAGAAACAAGAAAATCAGAAATAAAGAAGGCATTGAAAGAAAAGAAAAACAAATCGCCTGGAAAAGATGGAATAAACTGCAGAGATGCTGAAATATGGTGGAAAAGTGGTAATTAATACTGTACATTGTTAGAATACACGGAATTTAGGAGCAAACCTTTGAAATGTTCTGTTGGCATGAATGACAGAAGGTTGTCATGTCATTGAATTGTTATTAGATAAGTCAAGTCATGGTCATGTCTTTTTCTTTTTCTTATATAATTGTAAATTGTAACATGTCTTTGAGATTACGCCTAATATAAAATAAAGTATTTTAACACATTTCCAAATATTATTTGAAGAACCTAACATTGGTTATGGGCCCAGAAAGAGTAATGTGTTAAAAAGTTTATTTTCAGTGTGAAGCTTGTGAGGTTAAGTTTCTGAAAATTAAGTTCTGCCGGTAGGCGTGGTGTATGAAAAATCAAAAAATAAAGTTAATAAGTATGGAAAATCGACATGGAATTATTCCATTTAATGGTAATGGGTTTGATAATTGGAAATTTCGTCTGTACTCTGTTTTGAAAGCAATGGATTTAGGTGCAGTCTTACAAGATGTACCGACTAGTGCCCAAGATGATGATTGGAATAAGAAAAATAATAAAGCCTGTATGGTGATAATACAAAGTGTGGCAGACTCCCACTTAGAATATGTAAAAGAAATAGAAATTGCCCTTGAAATGATAAGAAAATTAGAAGCCATTTTTAGCAAAAAAGGTATGTGCTCTAAATTTTATTTACTGAAGGAACTAATAAATTTAAAATATATCTATGGTACTGACTTACAAGAACATTTTACAAAGTGTGATCGTATTTTTTCGAGAGCTTAAAAGCCTGGGGAGCTATTTTGAAGAGTCAGATATCGCATGTTTTTTGTTACTATCCATGCCACATGATTTTGAGGAGATAGTCACAGCTATACAAACCTTATCCGAAGCAGACCTGAAGGTTGAATTTGTAAAGAGTAGGCTATTGGAATTCAGCTCAAATAAAAATAAACATGTAACTAAGGTTATACCTTCATCATTTAGTGTGACTCAAAAAGGCGTTAAATGCTTTAAATGTGGCAAGATGGGCCATTTAAAGAATGTTTGTGGTATAAAATGTCATACATGTAACAAAATGGGTCACAAATCGAAAAACTGCTATCTGAATAAAAACAGACAAAATCAGGTTGACAATAGGGCAAATTTAGCTGAAGACTTATGTAATAATCAAAGCAGTGATATTCAGACATCATCACAATCTGTTGCATTCTGTGTTTCGAGTGAGTATTTGTCAACATCCAATAAAATAGAATGGTATGCCGATTCAGGAGCTACTCATCATTATATTAATGATAGCTCAAACCTAATAAACAAAAGACAGTTTGTGGAGCCCAGGTCAATACAGTTAGCAGAAGAAGGAAAGTTTATGGAGGCAACCTGTGTTGGTGACTTAAAAGTAATAAGTGAAGTGAATAACAAAGAAGTTGTTATTACTATTAAAAATGTGTTATGCGTACCTGGTTTAAGAGTAAATTTGTTGTCAATATCAACAATTGAAGAAGCTGGTTTTGAGATAAAATGTTTTAATGGTAAAATTGTCATTAAAAGAGATAACTGTATTTATGTTGAAGGGAATCGATGTAATAATTTATATAAAATCGTTTTTAAGCACTGCAATTCTGAGTATGCAAATGTAGCTGTTAGTAATGAAAAAGATCTTTGGCATCAAAGATATGGTCATTTAAATTATAATTCATTGTTACAAATAAAAAATAAAAATTTGGTTCATGGCATGCAGTTTGCAAATTCAGAAAATGAAGGATTGTGTAATATTTGTGTAAAAAGCAAACAAAAGTGTTTGCCATATTTTTCAAAAAGTAAAAAATCAAGTAGAGTTCTGGAAATGATACACACAGATGTTTGCGGTCCTATTACACCAATATCACATAATGGTAATAGTTATTTTGTAACTTTTGTAGATGATTACTCAAGGTTTGTCATGGTGTATGTAATTAAACATAAAAGTGAGGTATTTAACTGTATAAAAGATTATGAAGCCAAGGTAACATCTTTGTTTTGTGGCAAGAAAATTGCTAAAATAAAATGTGATAATGGAGGTGAGTATAGTTCAAAAAGTTTTACAGATTTTTGCTCACAAAAGGGGATTCAAATTTCATATACTCCACCGTACACTCCACAACTCAATGGTGTAGCAGAAAGAATGAACCAAACATTGATGGATAAAGCAAGATCAATGATCAATCAGGCAAACATGGACAAGTCATTCTGGGAAGAGGCTGTGCTTGTATCAGCCTATATAAACAACAGAACACAATCATGTTTGGATAAAGAAAAAACTCCTTATGAGTTATGGCTAAATAAGAAGCCAAATGTTAGCACTATGCGAGTTTTTGGATGTATAGCTTATGCAAGAATTCCAGATTCTCTTAGAACAAAATTGGATGATAAAGGTTTAAAGTGCAGATTTATCGGCTATACTGAAAATGGATATAAACTATGGAACGAAAATGAAAATAAATTTGTTCATAGTAGAAATGTCATATTTGATGAGAATAATTTTAAATACTTTCCAGATAGGAAACAAAATGAAAATGATTGGGAAGATGTTAATGGCATCAGAGATGAAATTAAAAAGGGCAAGATAGAAGAGACAAATGATAATGAAATAATAGAAACAGAATATGTTTTAGAAAATATAGAGCAAAATGCTAGATCAAAAAGACAAACTAGATTACCCGCCAAATTCGTTGACTATGAAATGGACATAAGCTGTTTGGCCTTACTGAGTGAGTTCTCAGATGTTCCTCAATCATACCCTCAAGCACAACAAAGTTCAAATTAGAATAATTAGAGATTTGGAAAATAAGACTATTTGTGTAGATCAGATATCTGCTATAGAAATGTTAATTAAAAGGTTCAATGTAGAAAATTCAAAAAATTTCAAAACACCGATAGAAAAGAGTTTAAATTTAAAAAGAAATGCTGAAGAAAATAATATGACAAAATTACCTTATAAGGAGCTACTAGGAAGTCTAATGTATATAATGATGGGAACAAGGCCAGATATATGTTTTAGTATTAGCTATTTTGGTCAGTTTCAAGACTGTGCAACAGATGAACATTTTAAACATCTTTTGAGAGTTCTAAAATATCTAAAAACCACTCTCAGTTATAAGTTATATTTTTACTATAATTCTGATAACTTGGTAGCTTATACAGATGCCGACTGGGCTAATAATGTTAATGATAGAAAATCCATAAGTGGATACTGTTTTAAAATATTTGGTAACTTAATTTCTTGGAGTTCCAAAAAACAAACATTTGTGACTTTGTCAAGCACGGAGTCAGAGTTTGTGGCAGTTTGCACTGCATCATGTGAATTTTTATATATTAAGAATTTGTTATCTGATTTAGAAATTACTATACAGTTGCCAGTTTGTTTGTTTGAAGACAACCAAAGCACAATTAAATTAATTCACAACTTTGAGAATAACAAGAGATGCAAACATATAGATGTTAAATTGCATTTTGTGTTAGACTTAGTAAATAGTAACATGTTAAAATTAGAATATATTCCTACAGATAGTCAGCTGGCAGATGTATTTACTAAATCATTAAGTCATGAAAAATTTTGTAAATTCGTGAAAATGTTAAATTTAGTTTGAGTTTTTGTTTCACCATGAAGCATTTTACAGGTTTGAGGGAGGGTGTTAGAATACACGGAATTTAGGAGCAAACCTTTGAAATGTTCTGTTGGCATGAATGACAGAAGGTTGTCATGTCATTGAATTGTTATTAGATAAGTCAAGTCATGGTCATGTCTTTTTCTTTTTTCTTATATAATTGTAAATTGTAACATGTCTTTGAGATTACGCCTAATATAAAATAAAGTATTTTAACACATTTCCAAATATTATTTGAAGAACCTAACATACATTTCCTTTTTAACAAGATATTAAAAGAAAAAAGAATCCCAAACAACTGGAAGGAATCCGTAACCATTATCCTATACAAGAAAGGGGATAAAGCAGATATAAAAAACTACCGTCCTATAACACTCCTCAATGCAATGTATAAACTCATAACAAAAATGTTAACCAATAGATTGACGACAAAATTCGATGGATTCAGCACAAGTGACCATTTACCAAGTATGAATACCACATTCCTCTATATATAGCGTGCATAGATTTTGAAAAGGCTTTACTTTTCAAAAAGTATACAATCAATGCGTACTCCCTGTTCTCACTTATGACTCCCAAACATGGACAAAATCATAAAAACCCAAGGAGCAATGGAAAGACAAATGTTGCATGACTAATGAATAAAAAGAGAAACGAGTGGATAAGAGAGAAAACAAAAGTGAGGAATGTTAGACAAGAAGTTCCAAAATTGATGGAACAAAATTCTTATAAGATGGAGACCGTAGGAATATAAACCAAGCGGAGGAAGGTCCCAAATGAGATGGGCAGATGATATCAAGAAGCACGTGGGCTCTAGGTGGATGACTGTAGCGACAGACAGAGAAGAATGGAAAAGGATTGGCGTATGTCCAAAGATGAACCAAAGAAGGCAGATTAAAAAACCACTTACCCATGAGTTTCGCGCATTAACATCTTATAATTCTCCAAAATTACTTTTTCTTTGATGGAATCTTTCCGAGCAAAACTCTCTGTTAAGACTAAAGCATCAGCCATCGTTTTCGTATCAGACACGCTTATAGATTTGCCATTTAAAAAGGCACCTTTTCCTCTCCTTGCCGAGAAGAATTGGTCCAAATGAGGATTATATATAATTCCAATCTCAGGTTCTTTGTTGACAAACACAGCTATTGAAATACAAGAATGAGGAAATGAATGGACAAAGTTCATGGTTCCGTCTATTGGGTCTACAATCCAGGTTGGTGCATCTGTGAGGGTACATTCTGCACCTTCAAACGTTGATTCTTCTCCAATAACTTTGTGGTTGGGATACTCTTGGCTGATGGTGCTGATGAGAAGTTGCTCTATTTGTTTGTCTGTATCGGTTACTAAGTCTGTTCTATTTAGTTTGGTGGAAGTGGATTTGTTCCTTAATAAAGCAGTTTTTTTGATTATCTAAAAAGTACAAATATAACCATCAGTTATAGACCATTGATTAAAACTGGAGTAAAAATAAATGCCAAAGTAACATAGCCATATCTATCATACATTATACTAGTCCATTATCATACTAAAAAAAGAGAAGTATTGGGTTTCAGAAAACACATTCGAATGAGACTATCTCAGCAACATTTGAGGTGGTCTTATTTGCCTACCACATTGGATATTACTTATAGGGGGTTGAAAGTGGGTAGTCTTATAAAAAATAATGAAGAGTATCAAGAAATGCCTTTATAGTCTTGATCTCAATGAAGGGAAACCCCCAATATGCTGTAGAATACGGGCAACACTTAAGTAGATAGCTTAGGTGGCTGACGCAGATGGGGACCGGGTGTTTGCCTGTATAAGAATTCAATATTATTTTTAGGAATGCCGCAAGGTCACCCTCTAGTCCTGGGGAGGAAAAATCGTCCCCGAAGGCGGATGAACGACAGCAGACAGCCCAGACGAAGATCTTGAGATTTTCTATTCCGATATTGAAAAAAACAAAAAACACATAAAATTAGACGACATCAACACATTTATGGGACATGGAAATGAAAAAGTAGGAGCAGAAAAACTCGAATCGATTATCGGTCCAAATGCCAAGGACAGCAACAGAAGTATGAAGACATGGTACACACGCAGTTAGAGTCTAAAACAATAGCTCCCACTAAGGAGAAGACAATAAAAGAAAACATTGAAGACATGTGGGGAAAAATGAAAAATACTGTCTTGGAGACAGCAGACCAAAGTATACAGAAAGAAAACCGTAAACATAGAAAACCATGGATGACAAACGAAATTATGGAGAGGAGATGGATGGCAAAAAACAAGAATCTAACAAGATACAAAGAACTCAATAAGGAAATTGAGAAAACAATAATTGTAGCTAAGGAAGAGTGGATGAAAGAAAAATGTAAAGAGGTAGAAGAATGTACATGCTTTACATTTACAGTGTTTTCGAAAGGATATAGTGGATTTTGTGCGTCGATTCATCACTATGGATGAGAACTGGGTCTATCACTATGATCACAGAACAAATAACCACTGGATTTTCCAACGCACACCAGATAAAATTCCTCTGAACAACACTGGTTCCGTTTAAAATATAGCTGATTTCGTCAGCACGAAGAGGTTGAAGAGTAGTATGAACCTGGTTTTTCATCTTCGAAACGAGTTCGTGTCAAAAACTTAGTGAAGAAGCATTAGTTTTTTGGAATGCGAAAGAAATTTTGTTTGTGGTTTGTGGATTACTTTGCAAACTGGTGAAATAATAAATTCTAAATATTTTTAAGACCAGCTGAAGGAAAAAATTCGTGAAAAAATACCCAGTTTGTACAAGACGTGTAATATGAGCATTTTAACAATGACTAAAATTCATGAAGTATTGAATATGAAGTTCGAATTGTTGGATAATCCACCGTATTCCCCAGATTTCGGCCCTAGTGATCCATTTGTTTGAATACCTAAAAAAATCATGTGTGGAAAGAGCATTTTGCAGTCCTTCTAGATTCCAGAGATGGAATTTCGTTGGGACAAGTTTTCGAACCATAAAATTTTTATCGAACTGTAAAACTTATTATGTCTATGTCTATAAAACATAGTCTTATGACTCTTTTACCACAGTGCCACTGTCACTGTGATCTATGGTCTGCGTTACAATTTACAAACAATTTCGTATAATTTTTCACCACTAGATTTGAATTTGACTGCAGCAGAAACAATTTTATTCAGTAGATGCTCCTTTTTTCATACACTGTAAGAATTTTAAGAAAAAATGATACTTACTGTCCCCAGCTGCATCCCCAAAGCAACAGCCGTTTCATAATACTGATCCAATTCTTCTGCTGACATGGTGACCAATATATTTTTTCCACGTGTTATACCTATTAAAATATTCTTCAAACTATACCACCATTTATATGAAATTTTAACATAATAATAAAATAAATACGCGATATCTAAATTCCTAATTCAACACAAACATTTTATCTAATTTTTACTGCTAAAACTGACTATAATGTATAAAATGTACCTATACTGTAGATAAAATGTATGATGAAGGTAAGCAATTTCATTTAAATCATACTAAACTTACGGGGGCATACCGGATGGAAAGCTACAGGGAGTTTCTACGAAATCTCTACAGCTATTTGAAGTTTATTATACAAAATGATACTATTAGTCCAGTGAAATAAAGTTTTTTTCGTGACACTGAACCTGCTAGGCAAAAACAATTGTTTTGAGTAGTGTGGACGTCTGCGTCTGTAACAAAAAACTATATGTTTTGATCAGTCGATTTTTTGAACTTAATTAGTGATTAACAAATTAAGGTCAAAAAACGGTAAATTTTTGCTTTTTTCGTCTATCAGCAAAAGGTAATAAACTTGTAATTCATATAAAAACCCTACAAAATGACGTTTTTCAATGTTTTTATCCTTTTTTGTTGCTTAGAAAGTTGCAAAATAAGTGAGAAATGTTGATTTTTTAAAAATATTAATAATTTTGTTCAAAAAATAACTTAGAACACGGAATGTAGGGTTCTGTAGTGCTTAAATATGATCAAAATATTTGTTTAGGGGAAGTTAGTACACAGTGAGACAAAAAATGAATTATTGGCGATATAATTTTTTTAATCATCGATAAGAAGTGACTGAATGGCTGAAGAATCTTCAGTCATAATGATTTTTGGTATTTTATGTATTTTTATGTATCAATTCCACAAATATAAAGGTCTGTAGTTTTAATTCAAAAAAGTTATGTAACTTTAAAAACAACATTGCACACTGATAGTTGTGGATAGGTACTATATGGCTTTCATGCAGTGTTTTGGTATTTCTTCTATTTCCCAGACTTCTCTTATAAGATGATATATCTCAAGGTGGAGCTTTTCTCCCCCTTTTTTAGTAGTTCTGCCTGTATGCCATGGGCTGGGCCTGGGGCTTTATGGTTTTTTAGAGACGAAATTGCGGACTGTACTTCAGCTAGTGTGAGCCCTGGTATTTCAGGTTGGGATAACTGGTACTGTCTTTGTTGCCCTGTCGTTGTGGGTTTTTATGTATATAAGAAATGCTCAAAATACTTTCTCCATTGGCGGTTTATCTCGTCGTCGTCTGTGAGCAATTGTCCTGCATCGTCTTTTATAAAACTTGGGCTGTTGGTCGTGTTGCCCTTCATTGTTTTTAGGTCCTTATAAAACTGTCTAGGCTGACCGGTTCTATGTTCCTACACCAGTTGCTGTATTCGCACTTCTAATTCTTTTTCTTCTTAGCCTTCTATCATCCATGTTTGGACATAGACCTCTCCCAACTCCTTCTATCGGTCTCTATCCTGAGCAACATATTTCCAATTTTTTCCGGCTATTCTTTTAATGTCATCAACCCATCTCATCTGCGGTCTTCCTCTTGGTCGTTTACTTTCGTAAGGTCTCCAATGTTGTATTGTAGTATTCCAACGTTGGCCTTTCTGTTTAGCAGTGTGGCCCGCGAAGCTCCATTTAAGTTTTACAATTTTTATTGTTATGTCCCCGACTTTTGTTTTGGATCTTACCCAGTCGTTCCTCTTTTTATCTGACAGTCGTATACCTACCATTGCTCTTTCCATTGTTCTTTCTGTTGTGGCTAGTTTATTCATGTTTGCCTTGGTTAGGGTCCAGGTTTGACATCCATATGTCATGATAGGAAGGATGCATTGGTTGAACACTTTGCTCCTCAAGTATTGGGGTATTTTGCGGTTCTTAAGTATCCAACTAAGTTTTCCAAATCCTGCCCATGCTAGTCTTGCTCTTCTAGTAATTTCCGCACTTTGGTTCTCTTTGTGAAGTCTCAGGATTTGGTCTAGGTAGATATATTCCTGGATTTGTTCTATCTAACTGCCGTTTATAGTTATATGTTTGGGTCTTCTATGTTTGTCATTATTTTTGTTTTTTTTTTGTTTTTGTTTGCGCTTCTAATTACTGTTTCCTTTTTCTTCTCAAAAGTCGTCTCGTTTGAGTTTTTACTCTGTGGTAGTCTTGGTATGGTTATTTCTTTCTTTTCCTATAGTTTCCGCTGAGGCACTTTCTATGGTGTTCATTATATTTTGCCATTTCTGATCTATGGTCAATTCTAGTTCTTCTTCTTCCAGTTTCTGCAATTTGTTTTGGATTAGTGCCTGAAATTGGTGTTCATTATCAGCTAAATCGAGTCTTGAAATGTCCAATCTGTTTCCTTGTTGGCGTTGTTTTGGCTGTCTCGTCTTTAGCCTTGTTCTCATTTTTGTTCTGACCAGAAAGTGGTCAAAGTTACTTTCTGCTCCCCTCAGACTGTCTGCGCTGATGATATTGCTAGAATCTCTTCCATTTATAATCACATGGTCTATCTGGTTTCGTGTGATTCCATCATTTGACGGAAATAAATATTTATAGTTTACAATAAAAATTACTTCAAATATTATTATAAAAATAAAAACCCAAGAAACAAATTGTTTGTAGGAATTTAATAGTTTATTTAACAATTTATTATTTTAAATAATACATATTCGTTATGTACGAAAAAATAAAATTATTATTATTTATAAAAAACCGAAATTTCTGACTTATTTTGTAAGTTTCTAAACAAAAAATAAGGATAAAAACATTTAAAAATCGCCATTTTGAAGGTTTTCTCATGACATAAGTATATTACTCTTAAATTTGTTTCAAATGCTTTTGACCTTAATTTGTTAATAACTAATTAAGTCCAAAAAATCGACTACAGGAAACATATAAGTTTTTGTTACAGAGGTCCATACTACTGAAAATAACTATCGATGTCGTTTTCCTGGCCAGTTCAGTGTCACAAACAGGGTACTATTTTTGCTTATCTGCCTGGCCTATATTGAGATAAGTTCAAGTAATGTGCGAAGGTTAAGTGAGCAAATTCATTATAAACATAGATATATTAGAAAAAATATGATACGTACAAGATAGTATGTGCAAAAAATTGTCTCTATTGTTTTTAAATGTTTATAATTCTGTAATTAATACTTCTAACTATTGATTTGATATCTAATATTTTATAAAAGGTCACCCATATATAGTATTTAATAAATAAATATCCATATAGCCATATCAGTCATCATTTTAAAAATTAACTGAATACATTATCTAGGAACTACAAAGTATAATTAAAGTAGAGGAGAATTAATATTAGTAAAGGAGAAGCAGAGAATTAAAGAGGCCAAGAAAAAGTGGTTAACAGATCAGTGCATAGAAATAGAAGAAGATGAAAAAAAAAACGACAGCTTTAATAAGCATAAAAAAATAAAAGAACTAACAAATATGAAAAAGCGAGCACACTATTAGATACTTAAAAGTGATAATGGTAAACTCATTGCAGACATCAAAAATAAACTAAGTTAAAACAAAACAAAAAAGAACAGAATAAACAAAAAGAACCACAGGAACAAACAGGATCGAAAATAATAACGTGCGAATTAGAACAGGCAATTAGAAATGAAATGCTGCAAAATCAGTAAGCCTAGATCAGATACCCACTGAGCTAATTACATGCATTGACGAAGAAACACTGCATATACTTTTACATCTGTTCAAACAAAGAATATACAACAGGAGTAATACCCCAAGATTGGTTGCTGTCCACGTTTCTAACACTACCAAAGTCAGTACATGCTACAGAATGCTCCCAGTGCAGAACAATTGCTTTAATAAACCACATACTTAAGATATTTGTCAAAATAATACATGGAAGACTATACAAAAAAATAGAAGATATAGATGACACCCAGTTTCGATTCAGAAGAGGACTAGGAACAAGAGAGGCTCTGTTCTCTTTTAACGTTCTCGCACAAAGACCACTAGATATGAACCAGGATCTCTATGTCTGCTTTATAGATTATCAAAAGGCTTTTGATAGAGTATGACATCAGAAACTCGTAAAACTGTTAAGAAAAGAATGTGGATAGTCGAGATATACGGGTTATTGTCAATCTGTACTGGAATCAAAAAGCAAAGGTTAGAATCGAAAATGTCGATACAGAAACAATAGAAATCAAAAGAGGAGTTAGACAGGGTTGCGTGTTATCCCCATTGTTATTCAATTTGTACAGCGAAGCTATTTTTATTTTATTACTAAGAAAGCAATATCAAAGGATCAACAGAGTATATCAATAAACTGAAAAATCTTGACACCGCTGTTTATACAGACAGCCTAGAATCACTGCAACGCTTAGTAAATAGATTACGTCAAGTCAGTATAAGATATGGACTACAAATGAACGTTAAGAAAACCAAGTGCATGATCATTTCTAAGCAACATACAGTAGGTAGGCTAGATATCGAGGGAAAACAAGTAGAAAGAGCTAATAACTACAAATATCTGGAAGCCTGGGTAAATGAAAACAATGACCAAGGTAGAGAAATAAGGAAATTGAAATTGCAAGACAAGCATTTATAAAAATGAAAACAATATTTGTTAATCGAGACCTTCCTCTGGAGCTGAGGATAAGAGCCTTAAGAATCTACGTGTTCTCGACTTTGTTGTATGGAATGGAAAGCTGGACACTAAAAGTGGATAATATAAAGAAGTTGGAATCATTTGAGATGTGGTGCTATAGAAGGATTTTAAAGATACCATGGACCCAACGAGTTACAAATGTAAAAGTATTAAGAAGGCTACAAAAGGATTACGAGGTCATAAAGCACATCAAAACAAGAAAGCTGGAATATTTAGGATACATTCCCAGAGGTCCGAAATATGAGATATTAAGGCTCATAATTCAAGGTAAAATCAAGGGTAAAAGATCTATAGGAAGACGAAAAATTTCCTGGCTAAGAAACCTAAGAGAGTGGTAAAGTTGCAGCTCAGTAGATCTTTTCAGAGCAGCCGCCAATAAGGTACGGGTAGCTGTGATGATAGCCAACCTCCAATATGAGAAGGAACTACAAGAAGAAAATGATTATCAAAGAAAAAACCCATGTGACCAAATTTATTTATTGAAATAGTTACAAAGTAAACTTGGAAGAAAAAATTGACGTCTCTGTATCACGCAATGAAGAACAGTTAAAAGAAGAAATCAAAAAGATTACTGGTTTGTTAACGAGGATATTTCCTCTACTGAATAACAAATTA